CCCCAAGTTTGGTGATGGGGCCTGGGTTCTGTCCCTCGCTTAAGCACTTTATTAATGGCAGAACTGGGTGGGGTGTCGGTAACCCCCATTCTTCCACAGCCTGTAAGGGAAAGGCTTCCAGAAAGAGGCTGTGGACTGGGGGTTGGGGGAGACTGGCCAGCAGTGAGCCCTTGCACACTGAGGTAATGGGGGGTCAGTGACAGCCCCAGATCTGGTTTTGTAATGATTTATACAGAAATAAACACACTTAAGCCCCAGCTTAGTGTTCTGTATCTTTTTTTTAAGATTTATTTTATGTATATGAGTACACCATTGCTGTCTTCAGACACACCAGAAGAGGGCATCAGATCCTATTACAGATGGTTGTGAGCCACCATGTGGTTGCTGGGAATTGAACCCAGGACCTCTGGAAGAGCAGTTGGTACTCTTAACCATCTCTCCAGCCAGTGTTCTGTGTCTTGAGTCTGAATTTTCTGCTTGTGCCCCTCTTCCAGTTGGGAATATCCTAAAGACCATCCTGTAGCCTTTGGGATAGGGTCCAGACTGGATAGATGTATGTGATGTTGGGCAAGACCTTTGTCTCTGAGAATGCCAGTAGTCAGATACTGCCCTCAGGCAGCTTGGATCCTGGGTGGGGAGGGTACCATGCCTTCGAGGAGGAATTCTGACAAGTTGAAAGAAGTTAATGATGGTAAGGAGTCTGAAGAGGAAGGGGAAGGGCTGCTATAAGGAAAGAGCCAGTCTGGGACCAGAAGTCAACCCTGGGACCCAGGGCCTGAGGGCAGGAAAACATCCTTCTAGGTAGAGTTTGGTAGGTTGTATAAATAGCTGCTGGCCTCTTAGCACAAGGCCTGTTTAGTTAGACAGGAGGTGAAGGGTCCCTGACTCCAGAGAGGAAATTACAGCCTGTTACCGCAGATAAGATACCCTTGGGAGCAGGGCCTAACAAAGGGTGACTGTGTGACAGAGGAGGCAGGCTGCTGAGGGGATCAGAGAGAGCTGCTGTCCTGGGCTCCGCTCCAGGTAAGATGGTGGGCCGCCAGGGCAAGGAGGCAAGAGAGACATTTAACATTTGTTCCTTGTCCTGTATGCCACAGATTCATATGAGGTTGCCTCAGTGAAACAATGTCAGCTGAGACCAGTTAGTTACTCAGTTACTCAGGCCCAGCTGGCCAGCAGCCAGAAGAGCCCTCCCAAGGGATGTCGAAGCTGTGGTGTGCTTCTTGTCTGCGGCTCTCAGTGGGGCAGTAGCAGGCTGCCAGACAGGAGGTCAGAATGTGGTGGGACCGGGAGCCCGGCAACCATTGTGATGCAGGCATTGAGGAGGGGACCTGAGGAACAGAAGTTTCCAGTGTCATACTAGTGGTGTCTTGAGCCCCTTGTGGGCCTGGAGATACAGTACACTTCCACCTCCATCTAAAGGCTGCTGGGAAACTGGATCCTGTGTCTGGATAGAATTTCTCCCATAATCATCTGCTCGCCCACAGGTGGGTGTTCTGCCTGCTCCACCTTGGGGCATACCCACTCCCATCTCTTCTTCAAGTGCTGTCCTACAAGTGGATCCAGCTGTGAGCTTCAGGGTGGCTGGCCTAGGGTCATCTACCCCTTCCTCACTCTTGCCCTGTGGGGTTTGGCTTCAAGCTCTGGGATTCTTTCTGTAGTCAAAATACTTAATTTTTTCATTATGCATCTGTGTGTGGGCATGTACCTATGAGTGCACGTGGCCAAGGAAGCCAGAAGTGTTGGCTTCTCCCAGAGCTGGAGTTACTGGCTGTTAGGAGCCATGCAGTTGTGGGTGACTGGAACTGAACCTGGTTCCCCTGGAAACAGCAGTATGTACTTTTAATTGCTGAGCCATCTCCCTCGCCCTCAAAATATTTGTTAGTATTTTAAACTACTTTCACTTTTATTTGCTCATGTTTTAGAATTTTCTGGTTATAAAGTGACTGAAACTGAGGGCTAGAGAGATGGCTCAGTGGTTAGGGAGTGCTGGTTGCTCTTCCAGAGGACCTGGGTTCAATTCCCAGCACCTACCTCAGGTGCCTCACAACCACTTGCAGTTCTAATTTCAGGGCATCTGATGCCCTCTTTGGCCTTTACAGGTACTTGCACACACATGATACACACACACATGCACATAAATTAAAAATAAAATCCTAAAGCCAGCATGGTGGCCCATGCCTTTTAATCCCAGCATTTAGGAGGCAGAGGCAGGTGGATCTTTGTGAACATAGTGAGTTCCAGGATACCCAGGGCTACATAGACACACCTTGTGGGGGGGGGGGACAGGGGAGGGATGGGAGTGGGGGTGGCTGCTGGGGAGATGGATTGGTGGTTATAAGCACTTGTTCTTACAGAGGACCCGAGTTCGATTCCAAGTACCCACACTGTAGCTCAAAACCAGGGCTGCTGGACAGCGCAGCAGGTCCCCTTTGTTTGGTTCTGAGAACCCACATGGTGCTTAAGAGTCATCTGAGATTACAGTTCCAGAGAATGCAAAGCCTTCTTGTGACTTCTGTGGGCACTACACTACACATACATACATGCAGGCAAAGTACACATAAATAAACCTAATTGCAAAAAAAAAAGGTTTTATTTATCTTATTTTATTTTTTTTGGTTTTTCGAGACAGGGTTTCTCTGTGTAGCCCTGGCTGTCCTGGAACTCACTCTGTAGACCAGGCTGGCCTCGAACTCAGAAATCCACCTGCCTCTGCCTCCCAAGTGCTGGGATTAAAGGTGTGCGCCACCACCCCCCGGCCAAAAAAAAAAGTTTTTAATTAAAGCACAGAGCCCGTGTGATGACCCAGTAGGTACTGGTGCTTCCTGCCTCAGCTGGCTACCTAAATTAGGAAGAAGAGGACCGTCCCTGCAAGTTATCCTCTGACCTCAAGTGTGCTATAGCACATGGGAGCCCACACATTCATGCCCCCCCAAATGAATGTAAAAGAGCAAAGAAAAATAGAGAGCCTGTGGATACAGGCTAGGTGAGATAGAGTTTAGCGGGAAGAAGTCTCTGGCTTCATCCTTAGCAGCAAGGAAACTGGGCATGGTTGAGTATCCTTGTGATCCCAGCAACCCAGCAGGCAGGAGGAGCAGAAAAGATGTGTGAGATTAGGTTTCAAGGGAAAAAGGGGAGAGGAAGAGGAAGGAGAGGGGACGAGAAGGGGGAAAGGTATGGAGGGAACATCCGGATCCATCTGGCTCCACTGAGGACACAGCAAGAGAGGTACCCTGAGCCAAGGCATGTCCATGTTAGGGTTCTTTATTTTTTAGATTTTTGTGTATATGAGTGCTTTGCTGTTGTGGATATCTGGGTGCCATGTGTGTGCCTCATGCTGTCAGAAGGCAGATCCCTGGGACATGGAGTTACAGTTATGAGCTTCTATGTGGGTGCTGGGAATCGAACTTGAGTCCTTTTTAAAATCAAGTACTCCTAACCACTGAGTCAGTTTTTTCAGATAGTGTCTCTGGGTAGCCCTGGCTGTCCTGAAACCCTCTGTGTAGACCAGGCTGGCCTGAAATTGATAGCCCCTTGATAGCCAAGGATGCCCTTGAATTTCTGATCCCCATGTCTGTATCCCTCTAGTGCCAGGCTTGCACTGCCTCATCCAGTTTACACTGCGTGAGCCAGGGCTTCCTGTACGCTCAGCACTGCTCTCACCAAGCTCCATCCCTAACCTCACCTGCGTTCACAATAATCTTTGTTCAGGTGAGATTTGACCTGGGCAGGTGTGGATCATGACTCTCACGAAGGTGCCTGCTACCCCAGAAAATGAGGTTTTCTTTCTTACTCAGAGCTTCTCTGACAGAATCAACAGCTCCTGTGCACCCTGCTGTGCCACAGCCCCAGTCCATCCTGTCCCACTGGGATTAAGAACCTTCCTGTATAAATCCTGTTCCCATAGGTGTCACTTGAATGGCTTTCTGATGTAGGAGCTGCTAAGTTTGGATAACATCATCAATCTGCTTTCCCCAAGAGTGGCAATGCACACACCTGCCTAAGTCTTGAGTGGGCCTTTCAGACCAACACAGGAAGGATGTCCCACTGCATCTGCCCCACAGTGGCAGAATTGGGACTAGACCTTGGTATGCAGGCTGCTGTTGCTGTTCAGACACCATCCAAACTGTCTGTGGCTCCCGAACACTTACAAAACAGTTTCCAGTTTCACCCTATCTTGCTGTTTACAGCCATGCTTTGGAAGCCTTATGCGGTCTGATGGTCAAATACAGGCACACGCATGTGTTCTGAGCCTTGCCGGTCCCTCTGCCCTGCTATGCTTTGAGTACCTGTTACCCTATACCACGTCTCCTGTAGAGAGCTCCATCAGCACACGGCTTCCCACACAGGGAGTCTCTGGCCTCTGGGTCTTGCTCTGTGCTTAGGGGTCCCCTGAGCACAGCTCGACTCACTGCTGGCATAGTGCTCCACCTGGGTGCTCACAAATGAGAGTCCTCATACTCTGTAATCTCCCAATTTGGATTCACAGAGCTTTCTGAAAGTTCCTACCTCCATGTTCAACTATGGGGTACTGCCCAGCAGCTTCTTGGGTTCAAGACTGGCTTATCACCTACCTAACCACCAGATATTTAGGGTCCAGGAGTCTTTTCCAACAGTGGAGATGTCTCAGGGTAAGGGTCTCGGAGCCTGAGGCTGTAACCCTGGAACAGCAAAGTTTACACCCTGGTCCACCTCCCTGCTTACTTCCCTCATCTGGTCCCGTTGCCGCCTAAACACTGAGATTTCACACACACAACTTGTCTGAGCACCAGCTTCCTCAGCCATAGAACCCGTGACCGTGGGGAGTACTGTGGGCACAGAGCGCCGGCAGAGACACTGTGTGCAGGTTCAGTCCCTGGGGGTGCCTGGTGGGGACGCTCACTCTTAACTAAGCTTTCCATCAGAGTCCCTGCTTCCTTCTCTCTCCTCCTCCTTTTCCCCCTCCCTCCTCCCTTCTCTCTGCCATCTCGCCAGAGTGCTGGCTCCCAGCATGCCATGCGTGCGCGCTGACAGCCTTATAAATAGTCGCCTTTGCAGGCGGCTGAGAGGACAGGCAGGGCACGCACTGGCCCCAGCGACCACCACACCCTCCCCCAGGTCAGTGTGTGACTGCTCCATTGTCTGCCCGAGTGGAAGCCTCCAAGACGAGTGGGGAGACATCACCTGTGGGAAGGTGGGGGTTGCTGGTGTCAGGCTACCCTTGGGTTCTGTGTGTCTTGAATGTTTGTATCCATGGTTATGAGCAATGTGTGTATTTGCATGTGTGTCCTATCACCTATCAGCTCTGGGTGCATGTGCCCTGTGGCAATGTGTGTGTGCGTGTATTCGTGTATGTCCCTGTCCTCTCAGCTTTTGAGACCCCTTTTGTCCCAGCTGGTATTCCTGGGGCTTCAGTTGCACCCATGCCCTTGGTACATCTGTGCTGGGGCCCTAAGGGATGAGGCAAGGACAGAGGCCAATTTCCTTGTCCCAGAGGACTGGATAGGGGCAGCCTGTGTGTTCCAAGAGTTGTAATGTGTCAAGTGTTGGGAGGACCTGGGGCCCCTGAATGTTGGAGCCCTGCCAGCACCTCCTGTTTGACTCACAGGTCTGCTCAGCTTACCCAGGATGTTTCAGCAGCAGTAAGGCTGGCCAGAGAGGGGACATCAACTGCCCAAGGTCACACAGCTGAGTGTTGGGGTTGTGACTGAAACCTTATCTGATAGCTAGCTTCTGTGAGGACTTTTGCTGAACAAGCATCTGGGACAACCAGGCGTAGTGATTGGGGAAGTTTGTCCCCTGGGGCCTCTGCTCCTTGAAAACCACCTAGAAGACAGTCATATGAGGAGCACTGGGGTCCTGACCTAGGGAACCTTATAAGGCCTGGCCACTTAGCCCTGTAACCTTACTCTGTCTGAGACCCCTGGCCTCCTGGAGGCCTCCTCAGGACCTAAGTTATTTTAGACCAAAGAAGCGGCAGGTGTCTGTGGGCAGAGGGACTTAGGTTACCAGGAGGGGGGTTGGGGCAAGTAGAAGGGTGTGGTCTCCTAGGACATCCTGGTGGCCATCCAGGGCCTGAGACACTCCTCCTCCTCTGGGCAGCTGCCGAAGGACTTGACAGCTCCATGCCTTCTCATGGATGCTCTGTGATCCTAAAGGTTGCAGCTCAGGCCGTGGATCTATTCAAAATGCTCGAAGTCCTTGTCTGGTTTGGGGTGCCAGGCCTGAGCTTGACCCCAATCAGAGTCTGGGGTCAGTCTGCATCCCTCCACAAGCCTCAATTTCCTGCCCAGATGGCAGGCAGGGTAGAATGAGGGTCCTAGGCCAGTGCCATCCCCTGCCAGGCCCAATCAGGGACAGGAACAAGACCCTTGGTTCTAATGAATGTTCTGACACCTTACGCTGCAACTAGAAGTTCAGAGAAAGCACCTGTCAATGTGGGACTGTGGGGTGGAATCTAGGAAGGGGTCCTGAAGGAGGTGACACTTGAGCTGGGGCCTCCAGTAGTACTGGAGAAAGACATCCCCAAGCATTTGGTGTGTAACACTGCAAAGGCCTGGGGGGGCATTAAAGTGGATGAGAAAGAGGGGCCAGACTGCCCTGAACCTGCCAGATAGATTGAGGGGGGTTCATGTTTGATTTAGGTTGAGGGGTTCAGGTTTGACTTAGGCTGAGGGGTTCATGTTTGATTTAGGTTGAGGGGTTCATGTTTGATTTAGGTTGAGGGGTTCAGGTTTGATTTAGAGAGCCAAGAGGGCCACACATGGAAGCCTATGAGCAGGAGGGTCACATGATTGGTGCTTGCCAGGGGAAATACCATTGCTCTGTGTGTGTGTATGTTGTGTGTGTGTTGTGTATGTGTGTGTATGTTGTGTGTGTGTATGTGTGTGTATGTTTTGTGTGTGTGTTGTGTGTGTGTGGTGTCTGTGTGTGGTGTCTGTGTGTATGTTGTGTGTGTATATGTGGTATCTGTGTGTGTGTGTATGTGTGTATGGGGTATGTGTGTATGTATGTGTGTGTATGGTGTGTGTGTGATTCAGAGCTCTTTGGAGGTGGGCTATGGTCTCAGATGAAGAGAAGACGGATGGTTGGGGTACAAGTGTTCAGGGCAGAGATGGGATGGGTTGTTGGGAACACGAATAGGACTGGCTGCACAGTGCGGCTGGGGAGGTCCCTGGGACCTGAAGCCAGAGTGAGAAGAAGCATGTTTCTGGGACACACAGACCAGAGACACAAACTCAGGGCAGAAGGCTGGTGGTCTTAGGATGGTGGGACAGGTGGGGTTGAGGACATAGTTTTGAAGAGGCTGGAGAGTGGGTGGTTATGAAGAAAGGATGGGAAGCTGGGCCTGTGAGTGAAATTTCCCCAGGGGATGAGTGGTAGGGCCACATGTGAGGGGACTTGGGCCTGCTTAGGCTGGAGCCAGGGACAACCTTGCATTAAAACCTGAAAGAGGCTAGAGGACTAGAGAGGCAGCAGCTAGAACACTGGCTGCTTCTTCCAAAGGACCTGGGTTCTTTGATCCACATGGTGGCTTGCAACCACCTGTAACTCCAGTTCCAAGGGACTCCACACCTCTTTCTGGCCTCTTGGTGGACTGTAGTCACGTGGTACGCTTACAAGCGTGCAGGCAAACAATCATACATGTAAAATTAAAAACAACAAAACCAAACCACGCAGGGCCAGGGGAGGAGGCTGAGGCAGTAGGAGGGCCAAAAGTTAGTGTGATGCTAGCCTGGGCTACAGAGAACAAGCCCTGTCTCAAACAGAACAAAACAAACCTTACAGGATTGAGTCCCAGGAGTGTTCTGCCACCTGTCCTGTCCCCAGGCAAGGAGACTCCTGCCAGCATCCTGGCCCTGGGGAGTTTTGTCAAGGCACCTGGCAGACACTACACACACACACACACACACACACACACACACACACACACACACACACACACACTAGGGACTCTCTGAGAGATTCCATGCAGTTGTTCACTCCCCTCTTTGACTTCTACCCAGGCATTTCCAGCAGACCAAGGTGCACACTGGAGTAGGGGACAGAGGCAATAGAAGCCAGCAGGAAGGTGACTTTTCCAAGGTCATTCTGCCTCCTGGGTATCTCTCTATGCTCTTGGCCTCTCAGTTTGGAAATTGCAGGAAGGAGCCCAGCACTTACTGCTGTGGGTGGGGCTGAGTGGAGGCTGAGTCAGGGGTGGGAGGAGAACCCCTCACCTCTGCCTGTGCCTTGTCTTGCAGAGTGCTGACCTAGCTAACAGACCTCAGCAGGATGGAAGGTATGTGGTCCCCTCCTGGCCTTGGAGTACCTATGTGTTAAGGGGTGGGCTCACAGATTGTCTGAGAGGTTTGGAGGAGTCCCCAGGCTTCCTCCTCCTGCCTGTTAGGATACCCTTGGATTCTAATCTTAGAAGCAACAAGGCCTGCCTGAGGCCTGTAGGATCTCAGAGCTCACCTATGCTGATATTTATAGCCATGCCTTTTCTGGGGATGGAGAGTACTGGGGAGGGGGACATGCTAGGCAGCATTTCCAGCTAACTGACAAGCAGTGTGGAGTTGGGGTGAGGGGTTGATTGGAGCAGTGGGCAGGCCTTATGTCTGGCCCTTGCTGGGACTCAGTGCCCCTGTAAGCCAGCGGGGTGGACCCTAAAGTCTTGTCTTCCTGACTTCTATGCTCTGGGATGTGGGCAGAGTGCCTAGAATGGGTGGGCCGGGGCTTCTGGCACCGCCATTCTCTGGCACTGGGCCTCTGCCTGGGTGGCTCTTTAAAGAGCCTGACAGACGCTGTTAGCGCCTCAACTTGCTGGTCAAGGATCTACCCCTTGGAGGCCACACTCAGCCTTAGGCACCCCCCCCAACCCCCAGTTCCTCAGGGCTCTAGACCCATAGAAGCTCTCAAGCCCACCTCCTCCTAGGAAGCTCCCCACCTCCTCCTGGGAAGGCTGCACCATGCTGAGGTCCTTGCTCAGCACTCTAAGGGAGGAACCTCAGGAGAAAGCCCAGGGCTCTATTTTGGGTTCAGGTGTTCCCTTGGGTAACCCCTCCCTTCCTAGGCCTCCGTTTCCCTGCTCCCTTCTTTTAGCATCAGGTATGGGGCACAGGGCCTCACTCCCACTAGCTAGGCCTGCATTCACTGGGCCACATAGCTTCTCCACAGCAGGCCACCAGGGCTGTGGGTCCTAGGGAGGCAGTTTGGAAAGTCTCCTTAACTCCCTGTCTGAGTAAGAGTTCCATTTGCCCACAGCAGCCCTTCTCCTTGGCAACCATCTCTATGGCAACAGGTTGTGGTTGCCAGCTCCACATTTGTACTGCTGGGCCAGGGCAGCCATGACAGGGCCAAAGCCAAAGAGAGAGGAGAGGTGACAGCAGGAACAGGATAGGATCATGGGCTGCTGTTTGTCTAGTGAACCCCATGAGGAGGGAGGCAGAAAGACTGGAGGTGACCAACACTGGGGTTCAGCCCTTCCCCGACCCAAGGCACCACAGGGTTGCCATCTCTGTCCCTTAACCTCTGAATCCTTAGCTGAGTTCTTGGCCTTTGTCTGGGCCTGTCCGGAACATCCAGTGTCTGTCCCAGCTCACTCAGCCCAAGTCCGGCTCACACATGGGCCTCTGCCTGCTTGTTTAGCCAGTGACTGACTCCTGCTCCCCTGTTCTCTCCACAGAGAAACTGAAGAAGGCCAAGATCATCTTTGTGGTGGGTAAGTTGTAGACAGACACATGGTGAGTAAGCAGGGAGGGTCTGAGCAGGCACTGTAGGATTTTTGTTTTGTTTTGTGTTTTGTTTTGTGACAAGATCTTTCTACATAGTTCTGGCTGTCCTGAAACTCACTGTGTAGACCAGGCTGGCCTCAAACTCACAGAGCTCCCCCTGCCTCTGCCTCCTGAGTGCTGGGATTAAAGGCAAGTGAGACTCTTCCTTGAACTCTATTCTCTCACTGAGGACCCTAGTGGTATCCTGCCTGAGGCTGTGTTTTTTTTTTTTGTGGGGGGGAGCAGGGTTTCTGAATGCATGGGTGCTTGCAGGTGGGCCTGGCTCAGGTAAAGGCACCCAGTGTGAGAAGATTGTGCAGAAATATGGATACACCCACCTCTCTACTGGGGACCTGCTACGGGCAGAAGTCAGCTCTGGATCTGAGAGGGGCAAGATGCTATCTTCCATCATGGAGAAGGGGGAGCTGGTGCCACTGGTAAGTGGGACTTGTCAGGGACTGGTCTGACCCTGAGCCCCAAGGGTCAGCCAGCAAAGCCTGTAACACCCTGCCAAGGGTGACTATGGCTCTCTCTAGCTCTGAAACCTGCTCTGCTCCCCCATTGTCCTTGGCCAGAAGTTGTTTCCAGCGATTACTAAGACCCTGTTGGACGCAGCCCTGCCTCCCATTCTCCATCCCCTAGTGTCTTGGACTTTCTGTCTCAACCATGTTCCTTTACAGCTGGAGTGATCTTCCCCGTAGGCACTCAGACTTCCTGACTCCACAGCCTTAAGCTCAGAGCCCCTAGCTTTACACTGGGGTGGTCCCCTTCAGTTACTTTATTTATTTGTTTGTTGGGAGAGGTGTGCGTGTTCCCATGGCACCAACATGTCCGTCAGAGGAAACTTGAAGGAATTGGTTCTCTACTTCCACTATGTGGGTCCTGGAGGTCAAACTCTGGTTATCAGGCTTGGTGGCAAATGCCACTCGCTGAGCCGTCCTGCTGACCCATTTGTCCCCTTCTTTACCATATTTTACCCCTACATTTTATGTCATGCTTGGAATCATAAGCCCATTGTATCTCAGTCTGTCCCCTCACCAAGACCCTGGCTTGGCGAGGATGGGGACAGTGGAAGCCAGTAGGAGCTTTGTGCCCAGGCCCAGGACCTTTTCAGGCTGGAAGGGGGTTCACTGAAGCCCCAGCCTGGAGAGGGGCTTGCTGGGACTCACATGCTCTGGGAAAGAGGGCAAGCTTGGGTGGGACAGCACAAGCCAAGGTCTAGAGGTCGGGGAGAGAAGGCTCAAGGCTCCTTTGCTGGACAACAGGAGACGGTGCTAGACATGCTCCGGGATGCTATGTTAGCCAAAGTGGACTCTTCCAATGGCTTCCTGATCGACGGCTACCCGAGGGAGGTGAAACAGGGAGAAGAGTTTGAACAGAAGGTAAGACCCTTGACCGGCTGTTGACTAGGGGCTGGGATGCAGCCAAGAGGGAGGGTGATGGAGGCAGAGTCTACAGTGTGCAGGTGGGAAGGCCACACGGGACCAGCCATAACCACCTCAAAGAAAGGTGTGAGGCTTTGAAAGACTTCATCCTGTGGCACTTGTCCCCACGTGTCCACAGGCAGACATTTGCCTGCGTGATCCACACCTACACAAGCAATAGGCAGTGTAGGATGCACACGTGCATAGGTCCGCTGCATACATGTGTGTGCACCTGGAGGAAGCTCACACTACAGGGGTGCGTGCGTGTGAACACACATGCTGGTACATACATATGTGCACACATGTACACCATAGAAGGCCACACAGGGGACTGTGGACCTAAAGGTGCTGAGGAGGAAGAGGTAGTAGTTGAGGAGAATAGGCTGACTGGTATCCAGGTGGGCTAGAGATGGGGTACCTCCAGCTTCACTCTGCTCACCTCTGTGCATCTCAGTCTAAGCAGGAGACTGTATGTCACAACCTCTAAGTGAAATACCTCAAGAAAATGTTTGTGTTGCTCTGAGCCTCAGTATGCTAATCTGTAAAATGGGAGTCGATCTATCTTCCTTTAGGCACAACCCTGAGGCACATATTGGTTTTCCCCATTTCCCTAGCTGTGTGAGGTCACCTGCAACCCTCAGGGCCACATCCAGCAAATAAAAGTGCCTAACAGTCCTGTACTAGCTATTACGGAGCTTCCAGACTGCGCTCAGGGCTTGGGGACAGCCTCTGGGAGTCCAAGTAGCTGAAGTTCTCAGATCTTGACACTAGGGGGAGCCAGAACTGCACTGAAGGAATAGGGACAGGCCTGGAAGTGACATGTCCTACTGACTAAAATCTCCAGAGCTTCCTTTGGGTGGGCAGTATCCCACTCCAGAGGAGGGGCCCACTCCTCTGGTTAGATGCCCATTTCCATTCTGAGAAACTGAGGCTCCAGCCAGAGATGCATTGCCCAGAGACAAGCCCCACTTCCTCCACCCGAAGTGTGGATGCCGAGTCTGCTGTGTTTGGCCCAGGGACTCAGAGGACCTTGGCAGCCGATGGCTAATGGACAGGTAGCAGCAACCTTGGTCTGGCCTTTGCCGCTCTAAACTGGTAAACTGTCCAAGGTCACCAGATGGTGGATCTCTCCTGCCTGTAGGCAGCCAGTGCTGTCCCACTGAATCCACAACCACCCAGGAGACAGACACCAGACTCAGAGGGCTCAGTAGCCTACCCTAGGTTACACAGTTGGACAGAGGCAGGAGAGGATCTGTGAGTGACAAGCTGATGTGATGTCAGGCCCCTGGGACTGACTCAGCTGGGGTCTAAAGAAAAGAGGCCCCAAGGCTGTTAGACCTCCTGGCCAAGGCCCTGCCCAAGGCTGCCTTTCCTTCTCTCTGGTCTAGGAAGACCCAGAGTTCTCCTTCCCTCACAAGCCAGCCTAGACCAGGCCAGGCTTAGGGATCTGTTGGTGACCTAGATAGGCTCCCTGATCTGAGGGGTTGTGTAGCCAGACAAGGGAAACATTGCCTGCGTCAGTGCAAGGCCCAGCCAGGCCCTATTCCTTTACACCTCTCCAGGCCATCTTTGTGACGTGTGGCTTATGACAGTGACCGTCATTTAGATTTCTGTACAGTCCTCACCTTGTCCCTCCTCTGATTCCTTTGTCAGTCAAATCCTACTCAGCCCTCAGCTCCCATCCTGGCTGAGGGAAGGGGGAGGTAGCTAAGTAAATACCTAGAGGCTGTCGAGGGGACACTGAGGGACCAGGAATAGTGGAGGTCACATTTGAGAAGATCATCTGGAAGAAGTGAGATTCTAGCTGAGGCTCAGTCGGTCTCAGTTGTGGGAAAGGGTAACAGGGGACCTGTGCTAGCCTGGCGTGGGAGGGAGACAGATAAGCATAGGTCAGCATGGCTGAAGGAAGGAGGGACAGGGTGGGGATCAGGAGAGCAGCTGGGGGTAGGGTGGCCAAGGACATGACACACAAATGCTGTAGATCTGGTAAGGACTTTGGCTTTCTCTTGAAGGTTCTAGGAAGCTGTGGAAGAGGTTTGAACTGAGTAGCAGGAGTTACTTTAGGAAGGCCCTCTGGTTGCCTGGGTAAGGGACTGTCATTCTGAGCAGGTCTCATGTAAGGCTTGAAGATGGAGGCAGGGATGGGTCTCAGTGATCCGATGTCCACCCTACACAGATTGGACAGCCCGCAATGCTACTGTATGTGGATGCAGGCGCCGAGACCATGACCCAACGACTCCTGAAGCGAGGGGAAACCAGTGGCCGCGTGGACGACAATGAGGAGACCATCAAGAAGAGGCTGGAGACTTATTACAATGCCACAGAGCCTGTCATCTCCTTCTACGACAAGCGTGGCATTGTGCGCAAGGTGGGGAACACCTCTCTTTTCCCGCTGCAGCTCACAGAGGGCCTTAGGCCAGCCCTCTCCCTCTGCCTCAGTTTCTCTCTTCCCCTTAGTTCATTGAGTGAGGGTGTGTAGATCCTGCCTGGTGTCTCTGCCCTCATGGTCCTATCCCCACAGGTCAATGCTGAAGGCACAGTGGACACTGTCTTCTCTGAGGTCTGCACCTATCTCGACTCCCTGAAGTAACTGGAGCCCTTGGCCAGCTCCCAGCCCGCCCCACCCTTATCCCCTGACCCTAGGCAGCCTGGCTCAAGCCCAGCACCTCCACCCTGCTGGGCTGTGCACAGACACAGGAAGCCATGTTATCCTGTCCCATGGACACTAAAGAAATTGCCAAGGACGTTTAGGATTGCTCCCTTTACTTTGCTTCCAACTGAGGTGATTCATGCTGCCACAGCCAGAGGCTCCAGCACAGCCAGCCTATTCTTTCCTGTGCCTCAGCCCAGCTGTCCTGCTCCCTCTGGCTCTGCTGAGATCCTAGGCTCTTCCTTAGCCAGGCTGTGTCAAACCTAGGGCCCTTGGGTTGATAGGCTGCTCCTGGGGTCTGGGTCCTCTGTTTCTCATAACCTTGTGGTATGGCTTTTTTCCTGAGCATCTCTCTGGAGTGAGTTTTCTTCTTTTTTCTTTTTTTTTCCTTCCTTCCTTTTTTTCTTCTTTTTTCTTTCTTTCTTTTTCTTTTTTTTTTTAGACAGTCTCATGTGACTTAAGCTGGCCTCAAACCTGTTATGTAACTTAGGACATCCTTGATCCTCCTGCCTCCACTTGTCTTCCTGTGTGCTGAGATTACAGGTGTATACCTCCACCACTCCTGGTTTTTGGGGTGCTGGGGATCAAGCCCATGGCCCTGTGTATACTAAGCCAGCACTTTATAGATTGAGCTACATCCACAGGCCGAGCGAGTTTTCTATGCCTGACTAGGGTCTGGGCTGCAATGAGCAAAGGCCCACAGGCCACCGGCTGGGGTCACGTGGCCACTGGGTATCAAGGAGCTGTCCAATGGGCACTGTCTCATAGTGCTGTGAGAAGCTGAGGTCAGGAGTGGTCTTTCTGAGGAAGAGACTTGAAGGCTCCCTTGGTAAGGCCCTGCCAGGCCTTGCCATCCTTCGGCTGGTTTTAAAACTTGTTCTGTCATGTTATATCCCAACCCTTATCCTTGGCATTAAAACAAGAACATATAGTTAAGGAGTGTGAGCTGCCATAGACATGGATGTGTGATCAAGCACCAGGCCTGGAACCCGAGGGGACACCCAGGGACCCCCAGAAGAGCTAGCACCTCTCTTCTGCTCTTCATTTTTTGATCTCGATACACAGAAGGCTCTGCTGGTACACAACTGTCCTTGGGCCCTGTCCCCATCCCTAGTGACTTCCTCTGTAAGCCCAGATAGCCTGTAAGCCAGCAGACATGGCTGTCCCAGGGACTCCTGCCCCTGGGGGTGACGGTGCTCACTCCTTTCTGTTTACTGTCAGTGGGGCCACCTTTCCTTCTGCATTGCCTATTTAAGCTGTCCTTTAAAATAAATAAATAAATGTATTTCAGTTATAAGAGGTGAGTGTCTTGAAAGACCTTGAAACAAATGGATGTTCAGAGGAAGAAGGCATGTATCACCAGGCACAGCCTTCTGCTTGACCAGGGTTTGGGTGAATTCTCTACACCTATGCCTCTGTCCCCCATGTTGACTTCAAGAAAGCAGAAGGCTCTGGAGCCCTACACCACTCTGTGACAGCTCCCCTCCAATGCTGTGTGGGTGTGTGTACACACATAGACACACATGAGTGCACATATGCACACTCCATGCTATAATTGTAACTGGATATATGCGTTCACACAGACTCCCACTCACAGCCCTGCTGAACTTGGATCTCTTAAGGCCAGCATAAGAGTGGACAGAAAGCCGGGCAGTGGTGGTGCACACCTTTAATCCTAGCAGTTGGGAGGCAGATGCAGGCGGATTTCTGAGTTCGAGGCCAGCCTGGTCTACAGAGTAAGTTCCAGGACAGCCAGAAGAAACCCTGTCTCGAAAAACCAAAAAAAAAAAAAAAAGATAAAGAGTGGACAGAAAATGTACAGGAGAAGAGAAAGCTGGAGGAAAAGGCCTGAAAAATCCCTATTATCTTAATGTGTTAATTACAGCTCAATTAATTCAAGTAGGCCTGAGTTTATGAAGACCTGGCTGATCAAAGCAGAAAATTCTACAATATCAGATCACTTTGTCCATTAGATCACCCCTGAACATACCCAGAGATCGGTAAACCTAAATCCCTTATGGGATACTGTAGGAGCTTATAGCAAGCGCTTGCCTGTGGGCCTACATAGGGATGTAGAGACGGGGATCTTACAGGTAAGTGGAGGCCAGCCTGGGTCATAATGTAAGAACTGATGCAAAAAGAAAGACAAGAAAAGGGAGGCCAGCTGGTTTACATGTCCAATTCTAGGCCAGCCAAAAAACAAAAGATCTGGTTGTGCCAGCTCACACCTGCAATCCCAATACTCAGGATGCAGAAACGGGAAGACCATTGAAAATTCAAAGCAGCCAGGTGAGCCTAAGGATCTCTAAGCAACCTACACAACAGAGACTCTCAAGATCTACTCCCTATTAAAATAAGGAAGAGAAAAACAGAAACAAAAACAAAAAGCAGAACAACAAAAACCCAAACTAGAACCCTCACACACCTCCCAGTATACTCTACATGGTTTCTAGATGACTGGTAATCCATAAGAGAAGAGACAGTATGTACCTCATTACTGCAAGACACGACAGTCATTAACATGTAGCTGTGGGAACCCTTGCTTGTTCTAAGACAAAGTCTCATTACGTAGACCTGACTGGCCTGGAACTTGCTATGCAGAACAGACTGGCCTCAAACTCACAAGCGATCCTCCTGTCTCTGCCTCTGGAATCCAGGGATTAAAGATCTGTGCCACCATGCCCTGCCAAAAGGCCACTCATTTGAGATGAGGCTTGCTGTGTTGTCAAGGTTGATCTTGAACTCCTAGCTCCAACCTCCTCTTTGTCCCAAGCTCTGAAATTAATTCCCAGCAAGTGCCAACACACACACACGCGCGCACACACACACACACACACACACCTCCAGGAGTTGAGCCACCAAAGACACTTCACTTCAGTCCTAAAGGATGACTTGAAGATGACTTGGAGCAATCAGGACATTCTCCTGAACACCCATAGCCATTGTGACCACAGCGGGACCCTCACTGTTAACCCAGCCAGTACAAGGTCCTTGTATGGTTCCCCTTTTCTTCCCAAGTTTCCTCAAGGCTGATTGGCTGAAGCCAGACTATGATGCAGGACTACACTCTGAATTTGACTCTGCAGGACCTCATGCTTACACTAGGCAGGTATGCTGCACTGAGTTCCGGATGTCTGAGGCAGACCCCTCTGCGCTGAGGACTACTCTGCCTCTCATTTTGCATGGTTCTGTGATAGGACAACTCTCCCGATGAAGTTCCTCCTTCCAAGTCCTCCTCTGGCTTCTCCTGGAGTCAAAGCTTCCTTTCACACTGCTGTTCCTGCATCCTCGGGGCTAGCTAGGAAGAATGTAAGGGCTCAAAGTTGAGCCTTAAGAGCCAGAGTCCTTGTAGGCGGGGCCTGTGGGAGGGTTTACAGCCAGGCAAGAAGGTCTGACCTGCAGCCAACCAGTTTTTCCAGAACACAGGAATCCTGGAGGAGCTTGGGGAAAGCCGATTGGCCAGGCATCATGATACATACTTGTAAACCCACATACCCTTGGGAGGCTGAGACAGGAGGGCATCATGATCGCAAGATCAGTCAGGGCTACAAGAAGAAACGCCAGATCTAGGGCCTGGAAAGATGGCTCAGTGGCTAAGGGAACTTGCTGCTCTTCTAGAGGACCAAAGTTCTATTTCGGGGACCCATGTGGCAATGAGGGGATAAGGGTTCACAATTGCCTATAACTACAGCTCCAGGGGACCCCAAACCTTTCTGAATTTCAAGAACACCCACATTCATGTACATAAACACATGTATACAAAAATAAATGGTTTTGAATCAGGTCCAGGGCTGGGGCTACAGCTCAGTGGGTCGAATGTTTGTCTAGCACACAGAAAGTTCTGGGTTTGATCCACAGTGCTGTATAAACTAGACTTGGTGGCACACACCTGTCATTGTAGCATTTGAGCTCGGAATCAGGAGGGCCAGAATTTTAAGGTCCTCAGCTCCTGTAACAAGTTTGAGGCCAGCATGGGCTACAGGAGATCTTGCCTCAAAAAACTACTTAAACAAACAGGCCAGGTGCAGTGATGGCTTCCAGGCAGCTGGCCGCCAAGTCACACTGCAGTCAGCTCAGGAAAACCAACTCTGCTCTTCAATGGGAGAAGCAGAGGTCAGAGGAAGGCTGTAGTCTGCTGGTGGGGAGCAGGGTCTTCTCTGGCGTCACTGCTAGAATAATGTGGGTGTGGTGGGCATCAGAAGGTCACCAATGCTGTCATTGTCTCCTGGTCTCTAGGGACATTCCAAGCAGCTGCTTATTGCAGTGTGGGGGGAATGTTCTCTATAGCTTATAAGATTAATGCTCCAAAACCCAGACTCTCACAGAGGGCATACTCCACAGCAGGCATTGGTTGGGGTGGGGGTGGGGGTGGCCTCAGATGCCTCCCCTGGACTGCATCCCCGTGTCTTGGCTTCAGGGCCCCCTGAGTGCCTGGGCTGGAGGCACTGAAGTGGGAGAGGAAGGAAGTGGGGAGCAGAGGAGGCCAAGGCTGTCGCCTCCCAGCCCTGAGAGGGGCCTCCAGTAAACAGGAAGGCCTGGCGGCTCCATGGTGGGGGTGTTTAGAGGGCTGGGGGCCAGGAGCCCTTGTGAATATGTGCAGACTGTGAACACAGGGTTTCCTTGCTGGGGAAGTGGGCCCAGAGAGGTTGCAAAGCTTCCCCAGATTGCAGAGCAGGGACATTTTTATCTGCCTCCCCCCTCCCCCCGACCCTCCAAGTCAAAGTAGTCTGTTAGGCCTTAGTTTCTCTTAGTCCCTGGAGCCCCGCTCAGGAGCCCCCAGCTTCCTGGATGGTTCTAGTTGATTTTTTTTTTTTTTTTTTTTTTTGGTTTTTCGAGACAGTGTTTCTCTGTGTAGTCCTGGCTGTCCTGGAACTCATTCTGTAGACCAGGCTAGCCTCGAACTCTCGAACTCAGAAATTCGCCTGCCTCTGCCTCCCAAGTGCTGGGATTAAAGGCGTGTGCCACCACCGCCCGGCCATAGTTGATTTTTTAATATACATATGAAAAAATGTATGTTTATTCCAACTGCTTAGAGTTAAGAATGAAGAATCCACTGTTTTCCTCTTTCTCTTTTCTTTTTTTCTTTTGTTTGTTTTTGAGACGAGGTTTCTCTGTTTAGTAGCCCTGGCCGTCCTGGAACTTGTTCTGTAGCCCAGGCTGGGCTCGAAGTTAAAGAGATCCATGTTCCTCTGCCTCACAAGTGGGCATGTGCCCAGCACCACTGCCCAGGAGGAATCCACTCTTGATTCTGTTCTGAGACAGGTTCTCCCTATGTATCTCATGCTGGCTTGGAATTCAAAATTCTGAGTGCTGAGGTTATAGACCCACTGTGATCTGACCTTGGAGTACAGGTTGCCACAGGAACATGGCTCCTGCCATAGGGAACAGAAGGTCACTTTGAAGGAGTCTGTTCTCCTAATGGGAGAGGAGCCTGACCCCTGGAACCAGCTGCATTTTGGGGACATTGTCCCCTCTCAGGGAGGCTGCCCTTAGGCTCACATGCCTCTGTGCCCACATTCTGGGACTTCAGTCTATCACTTAGGAGACTGTGTAAGCAGGCACTGTGTAAGCAGGTGACAACTCATCATCTGTTCCTCTCGTGTGCCCGGTATGTCTGTTATTCCCAGCACCCACACCAGGCAGCTCACAGCCACTCCTAACTCCAGCCCCAGGAGATCCAGTGCCCATGGTTTCCTTGAGTATCCTTGCAAGAGCACATACCCACATGCAGACGCAAACATTTACACATAATTAAAAATATAATACAAACCGGGCTGGGTGTGGTGCTGCACGCCTTTAATGCCAGCACTTGGGAGGCAGAGACAGATGGAACTCTGTGAGTTCAAAGCTACCCTGGTTTACAGAGAGAGTTTTGGAACAGCCAGGGCTACACAGAGAAACTCTATCTCAACATCCTCACCCCAACCCACCCCCCAAAAAAAGTTTAAAAAGAAGGAAAGAAACAAAAGAAAGGAAAAGAAACATAGCCCTCGACTTCAGGAAACTTCTGCTTTTGATGGGAAAAGACAACATATCAGCTAGTGGCCTGAAGACCCATTGTTCATGTGAGAGAGGCATTTTACTTTTATGCGTAAGGGTGTTTTGCCTGTGTGTATATCTGTGCACCACAAACATGCCTGGTGCCTGAGGAGACCAGGAGAGGGCATAAGAGCCCCAAAACTGGAGTGACAGATGGCTTTGAGCTGCCATGTAGGTAGGTGATGGGTCCTCTGGATGAGCAGCCATTGTTTTTAAAGGCTGAGCCATCAGGAGTGGCCATTTTAAACGAAACAGTCG